CCTGGATTCACTAGCCTTGGAGTCGTAAAGAAAAACCAATAGTGCTTTGAAACGTTGAGCAAGGGTTGAGGGAGTAGCTAGTAATTAAATTGGTCTGGATTTCAACATTATAAAATGGCTCTGAAAGTGAAGCTTGACACCTGTTTTTTTTAAATCAATACTGTTGTGGCCAGGGCAGACTCAGACAGTGAGGAGGTTGGGGAGGAACATGGGCCAGTCCTGGAGTCTGGGGAAGGCTCTGATGAGGGCTCTGTGTCAGAGGCAGAGAGGGGGCTAGGGCTGTCTGACAGTTATCAGCTGCCTTCAGAGTCGGATATCAGTGGGGCAGAAGAACAGCTGGAGCCTGTTCCCGACGTGCGCATATGCAGAGCTGCCAAGAGAAGGGAACAACTAAGGGGGAAGAAGGGAAGGGTCCACTCGGGAGTAAAGGCACAGGTGGACGGTGAATGGCTCCTCCAATAAAGGATAACACTTTCGGTCAAGGGCTGTGTTTAGGGTTTGTGCTCCACAGCCCTGCTAGTTGAATGGGGCGAGTAGTTTTATTTAGGCTAGCAACAAACTAAAGAAAGAGGCTGAAACTTCTTGGGTGAATTCCTCACCTGTTCCAGAAGATGGGAATTCTCCCAAAAGTTCAGGCTCCTTGATGCTCTCTGAGCTTGCTTGTTTTCTTGCAGACGTTTCATTTCCCTAACTAGGTAACGTCATCAGTGTTTGTAAGGAGTGCTGCTTGCTGTCAGTTTATATTCTGGTGGCTTGCCTTGTTCGGGAGCTGGTCTTAAGAGATTCTTTTTTGGACTGTTTACTGGTGGCTCTTTGGCAGTTTCTTGATTGAGGTATTGCTTGCTTGATTTTTGGTCTGCTCAGAGAGCACCAACTCAACCCTGAGCTATAAATATTCTCCTTTATTAGTTCAGGCTTCACTCGGCTTCAGAATAAACGCCCGTACAATGGAGTTCTTCCTTAAGATTCATCTAAGTCTCTCAGTCCTTCCCCTTCCCCTCCTCCCAGTTATATTTTATACATTCCCGGGAGTCAAGCTCTGAGGCTACTCCGTCTGCATTAGCCAGCGGTCCCTCCAGGGTAAGAGGGGGGGAGCCTCTCCTTACCTGTGGACGTTTGGGTGAGCGTCTGAGCCGCCTGAAGCTGCACAATGTCGAGCTGGGAATTCACCTCCGAATACTTCCCTTCCACGTCATCGAGGCGGGCGCCCATCAGCTTGACGCTCCCTTCCAGGGCCATCACCTGCGTGACGGCATGCCCCAGGACGTCGTCTTGCTTCTTGCTCATCTCCTCTAGCAAGGAGGAGAGATTGGCCACTTGGACCTTCAGCTTCTTTAGCTCTTCGCAACATCCGGGGCTCTTGCTGTTCTTGCTCACCCCGGTCTTCTTGGGGAGGGTTTGCAGCCACGCTGGGTATATAGTCAAAGAGAGGGTTAGGGCACATAAGCAAGCCAGTTGGGGGCTGAAGGTGGCGTGCATGATCATGGCTCTCTTTCTCTCTCTCTCTTTCTCTCTCTCTCTCTCTCTCTTCCTCTCTCCTCCCTCTCCTCCCTAGTTCCAAATAACTCCTAAAAAACCCCAAGCCCCCCACCGCCTGTCAATTCAGGGCCCTTCCACCCATGTGTTGGAATTGCACTGGAACAGAGGTTTTGTCCGAATCAGAGCTTTTCCTCTGCAGTGCTGCCTCTTAACAAGTCAGTTGTCTTGTGCTTGCTAAAAGAGGCCGTGTGTGTGTGTGTGTGTGTGTGTGTCTCCTCCTTACCCCCATTTTAAATATTTGTGGCTCCTGGCTATCTCCACCCCTTGCAGCCATCCGGAGCCCTCCCATTTCATTCTGCCCATCGTGGGCGAAACTAGAGAAACCGAGAGGGCGGAATATTTTGTTTTCATTACGAAGAGTTTGGAACTCGCCTTTCTTAGTTGGGTTATTTTCTCAGGTGGGAGAAAAGGATTGGTGGGTGGGAAACCACAATTGTTTTCACGGGAAAAAATGCCCCATTGGATTGCTGCCTTCCCAACGATTAATCTCTGGCGCGTTGAAGACCATAACAGGATTTGATGTCCCGTAAAGGAAAGAAGTCCAGCAAATGTCATGGTTTGGCAATACTATGTCACACCCCTCTTCCGTTGATCGCATCTCTGGCGATCTTATTGGGAGATTATGAGGTCCTTTTGTGGGGGTATCTTGCCCTCGATGGATACAAACACCAAGATGGGAAGAAAAATGACTTATATTGTTCGGTGCACTCTTTTGTAAAAAAAAAAAAAAAAGCCACCTATGAGCGCGTAGCTCAAAAGGTATAAATCACACACTGAGCAGGATGAGTTTCATCAACATCTGTGCCTCTTTTGCAAAGCAGAACATTACGAAGATAACACTAATTTCCACGCAACATCGACTAATCTAGAGAGCATCAAAAAGGAGGCTACAAAACGGCAACATATTGCTTCTCTCTCTCCCCCCCCTCCCTCCCTCTCTCCCTCCCTCTCTCTCTCTCTCTCTCTTCCCCTGCTCCCTTCCCTGGAATTTCAGAGTAAAATCACTTGAGTTCAGTCAAGTTTGAAGTCTATAAAGCATTTCCTCTCCTTCTCCCTTTGACAAGTTACAAAATGAAACGGCCACGCTCCACAGCCAGACAGCCCAGGGCAGGGAGCAGCAATCGTAGAGGAAAAGGGGTGTGTGTGTGTGTGTGTGTGTGTGTGTGTGCGTGTGTGTGTATGTGTGTGTGTGGAGGGGGAGGAAGGAAGGATAACAGCCTATTTGTCAGAAGGCGTTGAAAAGAGATAGAGTCGCAGGTAATGAATCGCCCACACAAGCAGAGTTGAGATGCTCGAAGCTGTCAAGCCGAACATGACAGCCATTCATCACTTTTATAGCAGGTTGTTGATTCTCCTTCTTAAGAAGGAAAGCATCTTTACTCACTCCCAAGGGACCACGGGGGTTTATTGCCCACAGCCATATTTCAGGCAGAACAAACACAACTTGCTGTTGCATTAATAACAAGTCACTAAAAGACAGCTGAGGAACTACAAAAAAACCCTCCAAACCCTGTTCTTTCAAATGCGGAGTGGATAACTGAGCGAATAGAAGAGCCGAGGTGGCGCAGTGGTTAGAATGCAGTACTGCAGGCTACTTCAGCTGACTGATAGCGGCAGTTCGAATCCCACCAGGCTCAATGTTGGCTCAGCCTTCCATTCTTCCGAGGTCGGTAAAATGGGGACCCAGATTGTTGGGGGCAAGAGGCTGACACTCTAAACCGCTTAGAGAGGGCTGTAAAGCACTGTGAAGCGGTATATACGTCTAAGTGCTATTGCTATTCCTGCCTTCTTTCCTTCCACCCATCCGTCCATCGTGCACAGTGGTTAGAATGCGGTATTGCAGACTAACTCTGCCCACTGCCAGGAGTTCGATCCTGAGCAGCTCAAGGTTGACTGAGCCTTCCATCCTTCCGAGGTGGGTCAAAGGAGGAACCAGATTGTTAGAAAGGGCAAATGGGCTGACTTTGTAAACCGCTTAGAGAGGGCTGTAAAAGTGCTATAAGTCTAAGTGCTATTGCTATAACTGAGGTCTTGTCATCCTCATGCTGGCTCCTTCTCTACAAAGGCTCCCAATCTGAGCTTGTGGATCCAAGTACTCCTAATAACTGAACCTGGCTAGCAAAACATAAGAGAGAAAATCTTGGATCCGCTGAGCTGAGCTGAGCTGGATGCATGGATGACCTCCTAATATGAGTGACGAGATCCATCAGACCAAGAGGAATTTTGGGGGGTCAGAAGGAGGAAAGAGTAGAGTAGGTGGGAACAAGGGAGCAGTGCCATCATTTTTTTTTAATCTCTCTGCTGTTTACTCCAGACAGATGCTTAATTTAGGAGGGTGTATAGTTGCAGCTGAAACACACACTCGCTCAAAACAGGTCATCCTCAACTTATGACCACCATTGAGGCCAAATTTTCTGTTGTTTTAAAGACAGCTTTTAAGCTGATTTCCCTCCCACCCCTTTTATGACTTTTCTTGCCACAGTTGTTCAGTAACCCGGTTGTTAAGTGAATCTNTGTTGTCAAAATAAAATTCCTTTCTACAATCCAAGGTCATCCTTTGTCTCTACACCTCTGCACCTGACCGGAACTGGATGGGTGGAACTGCCAGCATCCAGTGGAATATTGGACCACGTGATGGACTTGTGGGTGTGGGGCAAGATGATGGACTCTCAACTGGGTTGGGGAAACCCAGGATGCTCAGATTCGGGTTTTCCCAGATGTTCCAACATGACTCTCTTAATAAATTGGAACTTTGAGCAATACTTTGCCTTGGGTTCTGATTAAATTTTGGATGTTATTTGGAACCCTGACAAGATGTATGCAGTGAACAGGAATGTGATACTTTGCCCCCTCACCGCCCCATGGATTGTGCTGTGGAACTACTCCCTGGGGCTAAACTGCCAAAGGCCCGAATGTATTCTATGATCCCACAAGAGCTAGCAGAAATGAGGGCATACATAGAAAATAATTTAAAAGGGGGCTTTATTCAGTCAGCTAGATCAAGGGTAGCCACCCCCGTTCTTTTCTGGGAGAAAAAGGATGGTGGCTTACTCCTCTGTGTCAACTTCCAGGGCATTAATGCTGTCTGTGTGGAACATCTGTACCCACTCCCTTTAATGAAGGACATGCTGGCTAGGTTAGCAGAGGGACGCATATTCACGAAATTAGATCTCAGGGAGGCATACTATAGGGTACTCATTCAGGCTGGTGATGAAAGGAAGACAGCCTTCAATTGTCCTCTAGGCAGTTACCAGTTCCGGGTTATGCCCTTTGGACTGCAAGGAGCCCCAGCGGTGTTCATGCAGCTAATTAACAAGGTGCTGCATGAGCATCCGTATCAAGGGGTACTCGTCTATTTAGACAATATCCTTATATATACCAAGACCATGGAGGAACATGTAACTCTTGTATGTCAAGAATTCCACAGGATGCAACTGAAGCCCTTATAAACAGAAGAACACTGACATCCCCTAAACTCTGCTGAAGATGTTACCTAGCCTGGTAACAAAATGTTTGGACACCAACCCACAAGCTCGGAGAATGAACCCCATCATTGCAGTATTGTTTGTAATCTGCCTCTTGTATGTAAATATGCTTCTCCTTCTTGGTCTCCTCTCCTTCTCCTGGCTCTCTCCCTCTCTGACATATAGGAACACATCTTTGCCCTTCTATAAAGGAAGAGAATTCTATAATCCACTGTTTCTTTATGTTGCAGATAGAAGGGGGAAAAAGACAAAGAACAACCTCCACCCCCACAAAACAGTCTGACATAAGCATGGTGCTCCCACACAAAGCCAGAGCTGGTTTTGAAAAAGTCTTAGGTAATCTCTTCCTTCCTCCCCCCCCCCCAATTTTAGTGCTTTTATAATCTAGTGTTTTATCCACAATTGCATTGAAGTCTCCTAAGAGACAAATATTTTGATATTCCATTTCCAGTATTTTTTATGTAATGCTTAGTNCAATTCGAGTGGGGATGGGAACTCATCAGCCCCAGGCCTGTCGGAACAGCCAGGTCTTGACGGCTTTGCGGAAAGCCTGAAGGGTGGTCCAAGGCGGCCCAAGTCACCACACGAAGCCAGGATAAGCTGACGACAGCGATGAAATGGGCGCTCCCTGCAGACCTGTGGCTCAACAATAACAAGGATATCCTAACGATGAAAGATGGCTTAGCCTGGAAGAGGTCCAAACTGTACGTCCCTGCAGGGTTGAGGCTGGAAGTTCTACAGTGAAGCCATGAGGACAAAGATAAAATCGAAGGTGGAAGATTACGTAAAAAGCTGTGCTACTTGCGCAATGATGAAAACACGGCCGGGGAAGCCCCCTGGACTACTACAAGGGGCCAGCCCTAGCCGACCATGGGAAGAGATCGCAATGGACTTCATCGTCGAGCTCCCAGACAGCAGCGGGAATAAAGTAATCTGGACAGTTATTGATTTGTTTTCCAAGCAGGCGTATTTTATCACTTGCTCAGGGTTGCCGTCCCCAAAGAAATTAGTGAAAATGTTTGTGAAACACATTTATCACCTGCACGGAGTGCCCACAAGGATCATTTCAGACTGTGGAGTCCAGTTCACCACCAAGTTTTAGGGAGAGTTCCTGAGATCCATTGGGTCCACACAAGGACTGAGATCAGTTTTTCATCCCAGCACGAATGGCACAGCGGAGAGGGAAAATGCGATGGTGGAACAATACATCTGGTGTTATGTGGTCTATCAGCAAGACAACTGGTCGGACTTGCTACCCTTTGCTGAAGTGGCGTACAAAAATGCGGTCCACAGCAGCATTACCAGTGGAATTTGTTCCCATGCCTGAGCTGCCTAAAGAACCTCCCTCCTCCATGTCTCTGACTGAATGGATGGACACGCTAAAGAAAGAATGGGAAAATACGAAGAAAGCTCTAGCGGAAGCGGCACAAGCCTACAAGAAGCAAACTGATAAAC